TCCTTTCCAGCCAATCCCATCTCTCCAATCCTGCCCTCAATCTTCTATTCCCATCTTCTGATCACAACTGGACACTGCCATCCTTGAATTTTAACTGCCTCACAGTCCATACACCTGGGATGTTTGCAAAGGCAAACCATTCCATTATAATTTACAACATTTTCCTCAGCCCTTCAGCTAAATCATTCACTTAGGACTATTTCTGCCTCATCTACAGAGACCCTCCCCTCTCTGGCCACCCCAATACCATCACAACCACATAATACAATCCACCAAGGGCCAGAAGTGGATTTCCTGCTATTACACTAACCTCAGCCTACTAACTAATCTCTCAGCCTTTGGCTTTTAGACACAACAGACTGAGGGTGATTTGTCCCCACCCTCACTTCCAGCCATCAATCATACCTATGTGGTCACCCCCAGCCCATCAACCCTATCCTGAATAATTCCTCAGCCTTCCCCCAAGCAGAACATCATTCAGCATTTCCATGTGTGCATAGCTGGTCACTGGACAGGAATGATGCAGCCTTTGTAATTCAGAAAACCCCTCTGCCTCATCTATCACCTACTGTGATACATACAAAGGCACAGCATCTAACAGAGGGCAGCTTTTCTTTCCCTGTTACCAATTTCCAATTTAGAACTAAAAAATTGTTAACCTACTTTCCTACATGAGGTGAACTTTATGACTTTCCTTTACTCTCACTGCAGTTACTTTCACTATACATTTCTTGCAGTTATCTCAAAACCAGCCCACAGAGTCTGTGAGCACCTAGCTTTCACAGCACAGCAACTATAAAAGGCCAAATGCCGCATCCCAGGGACATTTTTTTGACCAAGAGTGGTCCGAATACCTAGCAGAACTTAAATCCTTTGTAAACAATACAAAATTGAGCTGCAAGCTAAATGTTGTACAAAGCAAATATAAACCTCACCATCACTTATGTTTTTGAAATGCTACCCTGTGTTACACAGATCATCAGGATGAGTTGAGCAATCAAACAATTATTATTCATCTGTCCCATAAAAGCACCTGAAAAAAGTGACAAAATGACAGTTTGGAGGCAATCTGAGCATTATGCACTACTGAAAAACTGCAATTTCACTTCAGGTGGCCTGGACTCCAGCTTATGTTCAATAGACACTCTCCAAACTTAATAAGCTCTTAAGCACTAAGAAAGAAGATATTAATTCAACAGGGAACAATATTTTCCTTCCGAAATTATTAATAAAAATATTTACTTGTGAGGTCTTTTCCCTCTTACTATATCCAGGTAATATTTTGGCAGAGCAATCCTGGCTCTCACCCACAAGTGAGCTAGAGCTTTGTTCCTCCCATGCACTGATTTCAAACTACACTGGGTCACCACAAGAGTTCCTTCCAAGGAACTCTTCCATAGTTTCAGCACGAGCTCCAGAGACTTGAACTTCTTTCTCTACAAGGAGAAAAATATTTCTGTAATAGGTTGACCTTTCTTCAGATATGTTGATATCTGAAGGATGTCAGTTCATTGTGAGAATTTGGAAGCTGGCCATGACTCCAAAGGCTCCACATATTTTCAGAGTGACCATGCCTGTAATTTTAACCCATTGAAATGAAAGTGCATGGCTGGAGAAGAGCAGTACGTGCTTAAAAATCTCACTGTGACTCAGACACTGATTTATTTCCTGCAGCAGTTTTTGGGTAGCATCACTTCCCAAAGGCAAAAGGCAACAGGTTTTATTTCTATGACCTTCCTGCATTCTTGCAACTCACATGAAAAGGAACAATGGAAATGTGGCTGAATGTGAGAAAGCACAAAACTGCTACGGCTTTTTGGGTGGGTGTGGAGAGAAACACACAAACTACAAAAAATCTAATAACTCCCCACCCAAGCATTGCTAGTGAATGACCTCACTGGTTTCCTACATATACTCCAGCAGCTTTCCTGCCATCACTCTGTTGAGCCAAGCAATGATGTCAACAGTCCACCTGTGAGAGTGATGTAGCCCTCTGGGTCATGGTCTCAGAGAACTTGGATAAAAGCTGTGCCAGTGTTAATTAAATGCACCTCTTGTTTCACTGCTGATTTCCTTTGATAAGGCTCAGCTCATTTTTCCTGGAAAGACTTCCATGCTGTATGGGAACTGGAGCCAACCATAACACAAACCAAATATTGCTTAGAGAATATGAAGACAACATGCTAAATATTTAGTTTAAAAAAAAATCACTGTGTATCAGAGCTGGGATAAATACAAATCTCATTACTTTGCATGTGCTAGTGACAAGGCTGAACTACAAATGCTAGTTACTGCAGATAGTTTATTATCTTTCGACAGTACTTATCTCTCTCATTTGTAATGCTCTTCTCCATTACATTGGAGCAGAACTCTTGCGATCCTGCTTTACTGATCAATTCTGACAGGTTAGAATATGAGAAGTTTGCCTGATAAAAAATATGCTTTGAGAATGGTGTTTGACATTTAACTAGCATCAGAATTATCGCTACAACTTTAATGAAAAATAGTATTTTTTTCCTGCCATCAGAAAAGCCTTAGTTATAAGAAGGTTCTGAGCAGCTTAGGTATTAAGGGACCTCTCTATTAAATACAGTTAGCCAGTCAGCAGTGGAAGGGAAAAAAAATTTATACTGCTCCTTCTTTTTTTCCTGTGTAAAGAAATCTAGTCCACTGTCATGACTGGATGTTTTCACCATAGGCTGTCACTGGGATTTCTGTAATCCCTCTACTCACAACATTGACTTCCAACCATTCTAAACCTTCAGGACATGCCCTTTTATACTTGCTTTGTTCTTGCAGACATTTTCAGATAGCTTTATTAGTAAGAAAAATGCCAAGGGAAGGCTTTCAGTTTTGAAGCTAGACATCAAAAATATTTCTTCTTGCACAACTTAAAAAGTAACACTAACCCTAAGACATAGTTGCTGACAACAACACGCACAAAAATCAGAAGGTGAAAAATTAGAAAAGTGGTTTTGAAAGTCGTGGTGCAATTACATTATGAAAGTTTGTTTCATGATGCTCACAACTCTACACTCTGAAAGGCAGCAAGTGGGACCTTGCCTTGCTATAAATTTAATTCTAAAGAAAGAACTGTGCGTTAACGATGTTAGGAATACATTCAAATTCATTCATTCATTCTGATTTGTAGCAATTGTGATGGTTCCAAGAAGTGTTCTGTCCCACATTCCTGAGCATTACATTCCTGAGCATTAGCAATATTTTTCCAAACAACCAATGATCGATGTCCATGTATTTACATTTTTACCTCTTGGGGATCTTATGTTTATACAATACCTCGCCTACAAACTCTCTTGGAATACATAACACAGGCTATACTGCCTTCCCAGCTCAGGATATGGGAGAGGTTCCATAGCTAATGCTGCTTCTCACCAAAGTCAGGCTAACTAACTTAGATGTATTTTTTACACTCTCCTCCAAAAAGAAATCTCATATACAAAATATCCTTCAAAAGAACTTCATTTTTAGGTTTGCAAATGGTAACAGAAAGAGGTAATCCTTGGTTTGGTTTATACTGCTCCTATGGACAGTTTCTATGGATTTATGACATCGAACTGCAGCTAGTTTATAGCAAAACATGCAGGGTGTGACTCATTCAGAAAGCTCAACCCAAGAATATTTCATTCTGACATCCAACAGAAAAGCTCCCTCATGGATTTGAATTAGTTGCTGCCCATTACTCACATGCACTCCTTCTCATAACTTCATGACACACAACTTGCAGTGCAAACTTGAATCCAGGCCATGAAGGAGATACTAGAAGTTCTGACAAATTTTAACCCTGTCACCAGTAACTGGAATTTGGTCTTACACAATTTAAATACACAGCTGCACTCTGCTTCTGGAGGATGTGCATAATGTGGTCATGCAGAAGGAAAGCGTATCCCCAAGTCCAGTGACTTAAAGTGACACAGTTTCCTGAACTCCAGGAACCCTCCTGGTCAGAAAGTACTTCTTTCCTCATTTCAAACACTTGATTGTTTCGGAGGGAATTCAAAACAATAGATTAGAAACTTTCAACCTTTCCTAAGTGTATTGCTACACAAGGAAATCAGGCCGTGCTCTGGGAAGATGAGATAACATTGGGAGAGTACTCTTTCCGGAAATGCAATGGCTTTTGCATCCCTTCTCCAGCACCATCCCATGAATCAGCTACATATAAGTAATAACTCTAGCTAGGAGATGTCAGATGCAGTTCAACTGCTGTTTGGATTAAGATGTGCGTGGTTGGCAGAAGGCATGAGCCAACTCACTTCTCAGCTATTTCCATAAGGCCTGCAAGGTAAGAAATATCAGGAGCTTCCTAATCTCAGTCTGTACTTGTAAGGATGGATAGGAAGAAAGGATGATGATTGTCTCTTTTTAGCATCTCATTGTTTAAATCTCTAATAAAGGAGAAGGAATGTGCTATTACTTCTGCAGTTAAAAATCTACCCCTTCCCACCATAACTTACTTTGACAGCACCACTAGTGATGTTCACAAAGACTGGGAGCAAATCAGGCTCATCAGCTGAAGAGCAATTCTTTTAAGCATACTCTATTCCCCAACAAAATTCCTTTAATCTAAATGCATTGAAATGGTTTGTAATGATAGAGAAAAGATTTTAAATTTAGAATAATATCTAACTAGTTATTTACAGGCTGAAACTTGAATAAGAAAAGACAATGACAAGTGAATTCATTTTTCTGTGGCATTAGGGTGCCTAAACACCCTAGACTAACCTAAAAACAGCAGCAACAGAAGCAACGTCAAGAGCCACTCTCTCAGACCCGACAGTCAAAGCTCTTATATGACATTGCATTTTCTTGATTATCGTTTCCTATCAACGCAGAGCTCCATAAGGTTTGAGGATAAGTTTATCACACAAAAGCAAGAACTCACATGGTTCTACACATTATTTTTAGAGGCAAACAGGAAATGCACTTCCCTGTCAAGCTGGGTGAAAGGGGAGTTAATGAGTGGAACGCTTTGCACTCACCGTTCCTACCAGAGGGTAGATGAATCCAGCTCCAATGCTGGCCCGCACATCGCTGATCGGCAAAATGAAACCAGTGGGAACACCCTTCCTCTCAGGCTGATGGGAGAGGGATAGGTGAGTTTTTGCCATGCAAATGGGAAGATTTCCAAATCCCTAACAAAAAAAAAAATAAAGGGAAAAGAAAAGAAAAATGTTTTTAAAATCAGAGTAAAGGCACATTATGTTTTTGTTTTGTTATCAGTATCTTCTAGAAACCTCTCGTACAGCAGTTCTTTTCGGGTTCTAATGATCCAGTTAGCAACCCGAGACCAGGACTCAGGGTCCAAAATTTTCTAAGGGTTTCAATGTCTTCCTGGGCGTAAACACAGATGGTGCTCATGATGCTTTCCTTTTCTTTGTTTTTAAACAAGACAAAACTTGCATGAGGTGATGGCACCCCCTTCACTAATGTCAGAGTGCTAATTACTGAAAACGTGGGAGAAAATCAGGAAAAGTGCCTCAGTAGCTCCCCCTGCCCATAATTTATCTCCAAGTTATTGATTAATCTTGAGTCAGGCACCTTCCACTCTTCTGTTCAATTCTTTTACAAACAGGGCCAGGAGGAGAGGTGGCACTTCAGGGAATTGTCTCTGCAGCCCAGTGCTGACAACTCTTTAAATGTCATTGTGAGAATATTTCCTAATATACTAACACTTAGACTAAAAAATGGATTGGAGAATCACAGCAGGAAAAAAAAGGGCATGGATTATTTAGCTTCCAGTAAACTCAGTAACCTTCTTTTCCATTTAGAAAAATCAAATTAATTCTCAGGAAGTTTGCATTTTAGGGAAGATGGCTGTCCACCTGTCTGACCAAGGACTTCTGCTCGTCTGACCACGCTGCTGAAGTTTACTCAGGAATTTTTCCTGGGCATATTGTTTCTATTTTCTGACAGAAAGGCTCCAGCCACATTTATGTCCAGAAGCCATTCCACTACAATAAACACATTCACCTCTCCACATGGTCTCAAAACTTTTTAAACTGTAACATGCTCTCACACGCTTTAGGATAGGCGATGTATTTCATGTTCTACTATTTGTAACTCCTTGAAAGTAGGAGTTACGAATAGGAACAGAAAGAAATCAAAAGATTTTACAAATATTGGGACCTTTGTTATCAATGTGTATAGCTGTGCACAGGTCTTACTGTGCTTTCAAACTCTTTTTTGCAGGTACAAATGAACACTCTTATGCTAAAATTGGTTACATTTGCTAGCAGCAACTTTTGCAGATCCGCAGTTGTCAGGTTAAGGAGAGTAACTCAAACTGCACAGAAAGTACAGTTTCATGGACAATCTCAGAAGTATTCTGAACTCCATTCATATCTCACAGGACATTGCCCTCATGGTTAAAACCATTCTGTCCTACCACACCTAAACCAACTCATACTGACCTCCACAGTTCACAACCATGGGTAAGCTCATGCCTTTCAGTAAAGCTTGCTTAACACTCCAGTCTGAGAACATTTACACCCTGAGGTTTCCCAAGACTCACATCCAGCACAATTCCCTGGTGCTCTTACCTGCTGGGTGTAACGATCAACTTGAGACTGGGCAGCAGGAGACAACTCGATATCCTGAGCTCCATACACCTTCTGAGCAATGATCCTTATTTTTTCAACAATAGGAAGCTGCAGAGATAAGGAAACAACACAAGGATGAACGTTGTCCAAGAGAAACTAGGATTTGTTTGCTGAGTGAGGTCTCTGAATCTCTCATTTAGATTCATCCCTGTTAAACAGGCTTGCTGAAGCAAGAGACCAAGTAAGGAGCAGTGGTGATGGATATGATACACAGCCACAGGTACATGAACTAACAGCTGTGATTTCAGCTACTCCATCATTTGGAAGCTGCACAATTTGTGCATTACAGAGGAGACAACGTGAGCTTATGCTCACCTGAAGTGAGGGGAGAAAATTACTGCCATCTAGTTATGAGAGTGAAGAGATAACCTACACCTCAATCTCCACTGGGTTGGCAGGGATCACTAGACAAGGAAGTTTCATTTCAGAATAAAGACAACCTACATGAGTAGACAAAGCAAGGTAGGAGGCACTCAGGGAAGGTTCCCCTGACAAGACAGGAATTGTAGCAGAAAGTTCCTGATCACTGCTCCTTTGACTGCGATTTTCTTTCATTATTATTATTCTTACCTCCTATCCTTTGTAACATGCATATTTTTAATTGTAGCTTTGATATTGTAAAGCACTTTGGACACTTAAAAAAATAATATGAAAGAATTCTAGAATTCATTTTGAAACCCCAAGTCACTAAGTTAAATCCCAGTCTCCAAGAGTATTCACATCATGTTATTCAGCTCAAACTGAACAAGTTCTGCCTTCACAGCTTCTATTTGAAGGCAGAGGCAGACTCTCACATTCAATCTGTTACAAAACCCTTAACATATTTTCAAGAAACAGGTTTTTGTGGTCAGATCAGGCATTTACTTTTTGTGCCATCATTTTTGTGTATTTAGAGTAAACAACTCTTTCCTATTTCCTTGTTCTCTTTCCTTTTGTTTTTAATGGCCCATGAGACAGCAATTGTGACTCCTCTGGCCTATTTTAAACAAGCCATTCTCTGACTTCTTTCAATAGGAACAGGATGATGGAGGAGGCATCTTACCACGAGTTCAGATAATTCTGTGCTCACTGTAGATGGCCAGAGATGCATGCAATATTAAAGGGCATATCTCATCAGTAACTTGTAGAATATTTAATTAACAACACCCGTGGAATAAGTGCTAAACAAAGTCTAGGGAGATAATCACTTGGGGAAGAAGACTTGGTAATACAAGTACAATCCAAAAAGCAATACAAAAAGCACCAGGACACAAAATAGAAGTGTATCATTTTATTCCAACAAAGGCAAGAAATTAATTAATTTGTGAATAATGAACCCTATCTGATGCATTTATAGGAAGTTCCGTAGTTAATCACATTTTTGCAATACCTGTCTGGAAGTAGTTCTTTTTCTGTAAAGATACATCAGTTGAAAGGTTTGTGTCAGGCCAATCTTCTTTGTATTTACGCTTAAATTTTAGAAAAATTAAAGCTTACATTAATAAAGAACTTCAGTAACAGAGTTATCACAAGAAAAGAATCTCTCCAGACTTCCAAGTACCTTAAATGTAAGGCAGTTAAAAGCTACTAAGGCTCAGATAAAATTCCCCCTCAGATCTGAAATTACAAAGACAGGTTTAAAGAAGCTTCACAAGGCACTTTCTGAACATCCTCACGATACAATTACTGCACCTTAATTGGGTGGAATAATGTCACATTCCCAACAACAGGCTTTTTACAGGAATCCAAGCAGTGCAGGAAAATCTAATCAGGACTAGATATAGCACATTGCAAATATCCTGGGTATAATTCCTGGCAGCAGCAAGCTGAATGGAATACTTAGTGTCATGGACAGCCATCACAAGATGAAATTTGTCTCAGCGTGATTATTAAGTACGTTCATATCCATGGCAGTTTTCAACACAGTGGGAGAAATGCAAAACATGTCTGTTAATTTGCCTTCTGGGTGCTGTTTGCTTGCAGTAAAGGACTAACAGCAATGGCAAATGGAAAGGCAAAAGGAATTCCATTCCCTGTTGTCAGCAGGCCAACATGGAAACGAACAGCTTTCTGCTTAAACCTCAGTAAATTCACTGAGATGGAGATGGACATTTAGATTCAACTTGCATTTGTGTCAAAACATTTCAAACTAATTTGACAGCAGTGTAACTACTGCGCCTTCAGCCCCCTTCCAATGACCACAGCTGTATTTTCCAAAAGAAACCCAGCAGGGTTCTGGATAATATCAGAGGAGAATGCTTTAATGACAGTGGTGGCACTTTGCCTCTCCTGGGATATGTGCAGTGTGTTGCATGGCTGAGTCTGGGCTGGACAGTTAAAGCATATCCCTGTGGATTTATGGTTTGTGGCTTTTTTCCTGGCTTGTTTTTTCTTTAACCAGAATTTCAGATACTTTTTGGGTCAGTACCCACACCTCAAACTTTGCAAATGTAACCTCAGAAGAATCACCACTGAGGAAGGAGTTGTGGGAGTGTGAATAGCAAAATAAAGTGGTTTCCTGAGCCTGTCCTGTTCTTGCCAGGCATGCTCACACAAACAGGTGAGGCAATGTGTGCATGGTGTCAGAGGAGAGTCTGAGCCTATTTAACCTCAGCAGAGGCAAGATGAGTCTTGGCTGAGCCAAATTCAGACAGAAACCAGCAGGAAGGCACAGATGTGCTATGGAATGGACATCAACACAGCCCATGCACATGCACACTCTCAGCTATGCTTCCTTCCTGAAGTTTCAGGAGTAGGGAAAGGAGTACACTACACCATGCTAAGGATCCACCTGTTTCCTAGTATTTATTGTGAGTTTTAAAGCATTATCTATTTAGAATCACAGTGTATCAGGGCATTTCAAGCTAAAAAGTTTCCTGTGTTTCAGTTATCAAATAATACTGCTAGGAAACTTCATTTTAGTTTAAAGAAGTGTTTTCCAAACTAAAAAACCACCAATGCTTTACACAGGAAATAAAAATTAATTTTGCTTGAAAGTGCCATAATGGTATTTTAACAGAAAAGAAGTTCTACTTGTTCAAGAGGCATTTTACATAGCAGAAGTCTGGATTTACAAGACCCTTGTTTAGCTTTAGGTTTTCAACAAAACTGTTGATTATTCAGCACTTCACTATCAAAATAGTCTCACTGATGCGCAAAGACATCCACCATATGCAGCAACAATGCTAATTCACATGGAGAAGGGGGCTGAAAAATTAAACTCCTATTGCACAAGTAACTAAATCATTAGAGGATTTTATGCTGGATTTTTGCTCCAGTTGATACCAGACTTATCTAGAAAAAAAAAATCATGTGAACTACCTGTTTGTACCTTATATACTTTGGTCAAATGTCTGCCAGCAGAAACCACATATTTCAGATACTTTAAAAAAGAGTAATTTCACATCTGCTGTGATTTGGGAGCGATACTCTCCATTTCAGTGTCCCCACCAACACCCTCCAGGAATTCCTTCTCCCAGGAAGCAACTCCTTTTCCCTTCCCCCCATGATGTGAGATTGCATAGAATAACCTCCTGGTCTGCCCCCTTCCAACTGCTGCAAAAATTAACCCTGTCCAGGCCAGGAGCAGGACACCATCTCTCACTTCTTGTTTTGCCTGAGAATTTTTTACAATGGCCTTAGGAATTTCCTGAACTGGTTGTTCATTCCCACTAGCAAACTCCAGTGCTGCACCCTTAGCTGTGCTGATGCAACCACTTGCAGGCCATCACCAGGAGAGTCTTAAGGAAAGGAGGATTAAAATTCTAAATGGGGAGTGTTGATGCACCCATATCAACAACAACTTGATTTCGCAGCACCTCTGCCACCTGGAGAGCTAGGGTGAGAAGGAAATCTGTAAGATGTCCAGGGTGTCAAAAGCATGAAAGATTTATGTTCAGCAATAAAATCTGTCCCTCTTCTCAGTTCCCTTACGTAAAGTTGTGACTGTTGCACAACTAAGTACATTTAGGTGAAGATGAGGTGACAGATAGACAATAGTCACTATAGATTTGGACAGAACCTGACTTTTATAGATATGCAACTACCTATCAGTGCTACAGCTGAAGGAATTATGGCAGCTTCAGAGAATTCATTCCAAATTCAATTTCAGCTTCCTGAGAAAATGATGTCATAAAATACTTATGCAAATTTACATTGAATATAAGAGGATGCTTCAGGGCCACACAATACAAATATCTGCAGACAATTCATTAGGAGTCTCTCAGAAACAACCAATCTTGCCACTCCTGCCAGAGAGAATGTTCACTTCTGAAATCTCACACATTTAGAGCTACCAAAGCCATATGCTGCTTTTCAGGCAAGCACAAACACACAGGCTTGCTGAGGCTGCCAAGCACCCACACCATAAATGAGATTATCTCCTAGGCTAAAGCACAACAAGTGCTAAAGCACAAACTACTTTCACAAAAACAGCATCTATGTAGCTGTACATTTCATTACTTGATAGAGAATAATTAAACCATGAAATCAGCACTGATAAAGGTGAGAGCCTGTCATTCCCAGGAGTGTTTTGATTATCTAAACTGAATCATACCAGTGTTATCATCCAGCCATACTGCCACTTCCAGTTCATCTCACTTGCAACACATGATATTAGTGCCAAGTGGTGCTGCTTATTACAAAATCTTCTTTCTTCCCTTACTATTGACAGCAATGTTTTACTAAAAGATAATTTATTAGTGCTTAATTTCTGCTAACCTTTTCTCACATTTCCTTCATCTCTTCCTTCACTTCTAACATCTGACTTCAGATTTTCTGTTTTTCATGTAGGGCTTGATAAGGATTTCCATGGACAGCAGACCAGCTACAATAGATCTTCCTTTCACCCTTGTTTCCTCTGCTGCTCACACTCACCCAAGTGCCAGTGCAACCCAGGCAGCACTGCTGTTTGTGCAGCTGCACATGCCAGGCCAAAACATAGCCCAGGGAAAAAACCCTATTGCAACCCCATATCAGTTCACACATCCACCTTATCATAAAGGCAAAGCCCGTCTGAAGCAGGAAGAATTGCTCAAACTGTTCAAATCTGAGCATGAAAGGTACCAGCA